TCTTTGTTTTGCTATCATCTTTGTGTTCATCGTGCAAGCTCATTACATACCTTAATTCAATTGAATGTTTATTTTCTTACACTCGAGTTTTTCGGATTAACGCATTTAAAATCTCCCCACGATTCCAAAGACAAAACATTTTGTCAACCTTCCATACAAAATTGTTCTCCGACTGCAGTTCATGTGTGAATCGTTGGCAACCTTCTTTTATCATTATATCTACAATAAATTATCCACTATTGTGAGATCAATTATATATATATTTATATCCCTTAAATCGTCCACCAGTTATTTATACACAACTTTTAATAAGTTAATTTATACGTCGGTCGAAAGCTTCAAACAGTTTTGTTTATTCTCTTCATGCTGAGACCAGGATGTATCTATATTCATAACAACGCCTACTGGATTTGCTCAAAGTCCCAGCAAATCTCATCTTCATAAAAACGTGTCCGTGAGATTGTGTTAAAGTGAAAGTTGCCTGTGATGCTTACGAGAACATTTTTCATCTCGTCTCGTGGGAATGACAATGCTAACTACCTTGTTAGTCATCTAGTATGGTTAGAAGTACATTATTTCACCATCTTGTTGATCCTATACTCTGGTGGGAATAACGTTATGATAACTAATATGGGAAAAATATATTACTAACTGGCTTGTTGGTCATCTAGTCTGGTGAGAATAGCGTATTACTAACTGGCTTGTTGGTCACCGCGTCGCAGTGAGATAACTTAAGGCTAATAATCGCATTCTACATCTCGTGCGGTATTCGGGATATAAGAATTGGAATTTTAGAAATTAATTGATTACAAAGCTGAATTAATTTAACGAAACTTACTAATCGCAACCTAGCGTTGCAAGAAAAGAAGGTATTCCACCACCGTTAAATAACGGGCAAAATTAAGCATATATAATATTACGAACATCTCATTGTTTACACGATTATTTAACGGTCACACCTGGTGAGTGAAATGTTTAGCCTGCCGTTGGAGGAAGTTTCTGAAGAGGACTGCAAGATTGCCGTTGAAACTTCAGAAATTCTTTGTCTTCCGAGGCTGTTGCATTCTTATTTAACTTGAGTTTTTCTGTGGCTCGGAATAGTTCGTCGACAGAAGAATTTTTCTCGTCGCATCTCTCAGAGGCCGCGACAAGACCTCTCTGCTGAAACTCCTAACATTTCAAAGTACGCGTCTTGTCTCAGCTGCTGCAGGTCGTTTTACAAATTGTAAGGAAGCTGCGAACACTTTTTTAACTGCTCTTTTTATATCGAGGGAATATAATTTTCATCCAAAGCCATCAGGGACGTTCGGCGATTCCTTTCGGTAGAATGTAGCGCATGTGTCAAATTTTTTGTTTAATTGAAAATCGGTTCAAATTGCATTTCCACGTTTCAGGTTGATAAATGTGTAGTCTGTTAACTTTGCATTTCAAGTTGTTCGTTCATTTTCAAGCCTTCCGCTCTCCTTTTTTGCTGCATTTTTAATTATTCCAATCGCAGACAGACTTTGAATAATATGAAAAAGTGCATTTAACGCGGCGGACATGAGAGTAACTTCTATCCCTGATAAAAAATGATCACCAACTGCATAAGAGAACCTCATTCTGGCCGGCGTCCATCGCGCGCTGCCGTCCAGGCTGCATAATTCCGTATATTTTCTTCGTCATGACACGGAATTTGCTCGTCGTATGTCTTAGCGGACGATTTTTGCCAGTCTGCTTTCCCGCGATACTCGCGCGTTACTTTAGGACTTGGAAGCAGCTTAACATCGTGTAGGTATACGTATTATATTTAAATGGCCCGATGAAATGATAATAGTTGATCAAATCTGATGAACTTATCACTGTTGGAAAAAACGGTAAAAAACGGTCTCCCCGACGTTCTAGTGGCCGGCCGACGTGAGAATAAAAAGTTCATCCGTTTTTTTACACATGCTGTACGGGTTTCTAGTGTTAAACGGTCATACGTTGTTTCTTTTCACGTGTCGGCCGGCCACTATGACGAACGCCGGTAAGGCTGTTCAACGGTGATTCTTCTTACGACGTAGAGAGTTGAAAAAATCGGAATCTCACTTTCGCTGCCATAATTCTATCGTCACGTTTATGTAGGAAAGCCTCTTAGTATTATCAAATTAAACAAGTCGTGAATTGTGCTCCTCTAAATTGAAGCCTTTCTTCTTCGGCTTGCTTCTATTACTTACTTTATCCCATCGTTATCTGGGACTTCCATCTTCTTGAATGCCTGCTTTAAGCCTAAACCTTTTCTGATATAATCGCGGACTTTCGAAAGACTCCCTTCAAATTCTTGAGATCTTCTCTCGAGCGAGCGAACGGCTTAGTGTGACCAACCATCACCTTGAAATTTTTGCGCTTGGGCATTCCATTTAGGAAAAGTGCCGATCCCGGTCAAAAATTTCACTTTTACCTTTGGCCAATAAATATAATATTCGTGATCATTTTAAACAGTCGGAACTCGCATAACGTCGATAAATTTTTCGACCAAATTATTCTGTACAAATTTATTTACAAATTTATAAAATTTGTACATTGAATTAGTGATCTGCGTTGTTGTTAAATTGGATTATTAAAAAATTACTGAATCAGTTCACACTCAGTGTGCGTTCATACGTTAGCCAATGCAAATATATATAAACTACTTGCCGCTGACAGGAAATGGCGACACATGAACTGTTTTTTTTTCTATTAATTGATCTGCTAGTTACCATGCATGGAAGCAAACAGCCGCACATGTTTCAGCAATGTAGGAGGATTAACATCGATTATGATCGAATCGGCCGGATTAACCTTCACCTCGTTTTTGTCACTATATCGTGCGTGTAAATTCTTTATCGGTGGCCTTTGCACAATCTTATTTGAAAAGATGAACAAATTGTTGCTGGACAAAGTCTGAATTTAGATTTTATTCATTTGATGGTTTCATCCGAATCCTTTTCTCTTATCTGAAAATTTTTCTGTATCTTAATCACGCATTCTCTCTCTTCTTTCTTTCTCGTCATTTCATATCACCCAGTTTAGTGGATACGCACCTGGCATGTTACGTTGTTTCTACGAAATCAACTAGCAATCAACTTTTTCAAAGTAATTTGCTTGGAGGGAAGTTGCTTAATTTTATAATAAATGCTCCATATCTACTCGATTGGTTTAAATTGTATCTTAATCTGATCCGGTTTCTGTACTTGCTCCTATGCGATGCCAATCAGCTGCATGACGTCCAATTACATTTGTATATGCTTCACCTTCTTGATACCACGTATTGCCTCGCTTGTACGTCGATTGTTGTTCTATTGAATCGCATCAGACAGCAAAGTATACATTCCTTGTGCCGTGAATTTTTTCCTGCATATCGGTAGATTTTTCATTCGAGTTGAATCGGCCAGTAATGAAATAACTATAGGGAAATGAGATGATTATGTTTAGCAGTTTATGCGGGTTTATATACGTAGATTTGTCTAGCTGTAATGCAATGCACCTGTTAATACAACTTTTTACCGTCTTACCGTCGTCTTATATATCGTGTTGTTATCATCAATGATGAATGCATGATAGCGATCTATCATCAAATTCCTTAGATACACTGCTGATGGCTCCTTTACCACAATTGCCCGGAACTCATGGTGTGGCCCGCATTTACTAATCAAGTTATTCGCCCTGCCAGTAATATGTGTAATGTAACTTTGTCGTAATGTATTACTTCTTAACACGCTAGCTCATTCAATATGTAGTCTTCGTCCTAAATTAATCCCGCAACGCAAAGGAAATTCCTAACATTAAGTTTACTAATAGCGTCTTATTATAACGTGAACCGGAAGAGAGCTGAGTGTACGTGGTTGACTGTATTAAAATAGTATAATGTTCCGTATCAAACTTTATTTAAATTTATTATCATTAAAAAACAAATACCATGATATTAAACTACAAACCTGGTTACGCTAAATGTTTATATTAACGCCCTTCATTTCTGAAGAGTCGGTACAAATATTCGTACGTACGCTTTGCGAGTGGAAAACTTAACTATTGCTTATTTAACTGAATCTTGCCTTATTAGTTTCTTATCAGTCAATGGCTTTACGTCAACGCATTGTCAGTCAATTCTCCTTAGTGAAAAATATTATATACAGAATATCTTGCATGTAATATCGTTACATTTTTTACCACCAAAAGAACTTAATTAGATTTCCTGGTTTTCGTTTATGCTTGTTTCTAAAACAATCTTTTACTAGATGAAGTGATAATTTGAAACTCTTTAATTGTGATTACCAAGTTAAATAAGCGAAGGCTTGTGTTGCCTTATTCATTGTAATTTACCAGCCGTCTAACGTACCAAATATCTCCCAAGTCCCCTACATGCTGTGTGGTCGCAACTCTCATCGACAGTTTCCATTTTTTCCTTCATTTGTGCGCAGGTACGGTCACGCCGTGCGGCCTGATGGATTCCTTAACTTTTGATGATGTGTCGCCCAATGTCAGTCCTCGATCCACCCTAAGGATTTACGTGGTTGGAGTCTCACCATGCGTGTAAAAAAAAGCTTTTAACTGAGCGGAATCTTTTCAAATAGATAAATTTAAAAAATTGCATGAATTCTGAGAAGAAACTTCAGTTATTTTTTGCCACAGCGAACTTTATCCTGCGTTGTCAGAATAATATCCTCATCAGGTCAACCTGGTACATGATTCGTCTCTTTTCGGCCTCATGTTATTGTTATCTATTTAGATCAACTTTTGAACTCGGCAGCAACTTGACAACACTTATCAGATGGCCTTATGCGAAGTGTATCATTTTCGTCGTAATGATAAAATAATTTATGCTACTTATATTTCATTCTCATCTTCTTAATTTTTCAGTCGCTGAAAGAAGTCGTCACCAAGATGCTATTTATTTTTATTTATAAATATATCATGTATTCGTTATCTTAGTTAATGAAGTCTCCCAATTCAGCATTATAATGTACTTGATGAACTTATTTTGTTTTGTCTTCCCTCAGACTGAGCAACTGAAGGAACGACTTCGAGGGCCAGAACCTGGAATGGACGACATGAGGAACAGAGGCTACTCTGCCTTCCCTCGGATGCCTCATTGGCTTGCTGAAGACGACCCACAGATGCTTGACTTGGCGTCAAGAATGAGCCATGCCCCTAATTGGCCATTGTCTATGGGCCGTCGTGGAGGCCCCTGGAGAGATCGTCGCAACTCAGGCGGGTCCGCAATGAGCGCCACATCGGAAGACGATTCCTCGTACGACCATCCTCACAACGACAAGTCATCGCAAGGCTCCGGAGGTTCAGGTGGCCTAGATGCGGCCATAGGGCACGAAATCCCCATCATGATTGAGGCTGAAGCCCCTCCTTCCATGATGCCTCCTCCCCAGCAACCACAACAACAGCAGAACGCTCCGCAACAACCTCACCCCCAAACGAGCGGGATGAGTGGACCAGAACCTCCGTGTGTTGGTCAGGTCCGTAAGAGTCCTCAGTACGCAACCCGTACGTCTTCAGCCACCGACGACGTAAGCGGTGCTCACAGGGAACAGCAGCGAGCTACTCGGTGTTCCTCTGCGCCACCGTCAATGATCGACCAAAGAGGCAACGGCACCGGCCGTCAAGCCCCACACGCTAACAAAGGCAGTGGCGCTCCACAGACTCGGTCTGCGACTGTGCCCATCAACCCTCACAACAACGTGGCCAAGCCCTTCGTGTCTGCCTTCAAGAACAACTCCCCTCGTTCACAGGATCCTATCATGGAAGAAAGCATGCAGCAGCAGCAACAGCGACCTAACAGCCGTCACTCCTCGCCCGCCCCGCAGCAGCAGCAGCAGCAACAATACTCAGGCCAAAATTTCCAGCAGCTGCCTGCTGGAAACCACCACCAGCAACACGCATCCCAAAATTATCCCCAACAACAGGATCAGAACTACCAGCAACATCCTCAGCAGCAGTATTATGAACAGGACCCTCTATATTACGGTCAACAACAGTGGCCAAATCAAGGTTTCTTTCAACAATATCCAGATTATGGGGGGCCGTGGCAACAATTTTATTCAAATGATCCACGCATGTACGAACAAGAGCGGCATTACGCCCCCCAGCAACAGCAACAACAACAACCGCCTCTGCAGCATCAGCGCCCCAGCGTGGTTCGTACCATTCCAATTTACATCGAAGGCCAGGAAAGACCAATTGTCAACGAAAATGAAGCTTCATCGTTGTCTTCATCGCCTAGAGCTGCTCCTCAACTGACTAGAAATCAACAGCAGCAACCACAGCGTCAGCAGCAGCAACCACAGCGTCAGCAGCCTCAACATCAGCCGCAACCTCCACCCTGGCAGTCTCAGCAGCCTAAACCTAGGCCAACTTTTCAGCCTCAATTCAGGCAGCATTTTCCGCAAGATCGTCCCGCTGAAAATGCTTTTCAACAATTCTTCAATAAC